AAAAATGCTGGGTAGAACTGGTGAATAATGACTCTTGCAGTGGATGACGGCATCTGTAGAGAGCAAAAAATTTGCTGACTGAATGTTGCTTTTATAGAAATTCATGTTGTGCAGAATTAAAAAAAACTATTATGCTGCATGTTGCTATGGTTAATTTGCTCAAATGTGGAAGGAAATATTTCCTCTCTGCCTTCCTACCTCTTTTCCTTTTTGGAAAATGGGGTATACTAAAATATATCAGTTGGCTAAAAAAAGACATAAGGAGAATATGTAGAGAAAAGGATTTGATTCCTGGTGTTTACAGAGCACCAAGGCCTACATTCATAGACTCTTAGAATATTTGTGTTTAGCATCAAGTGAGGCAAGTCTTTTGTTTCCTTCAAAACAAAAGATGAATGTATTGACAGTGAATGTGAATCATGCTTTTTAAAGAAGTTTTGTATATTATTTCCTTTTAGAAAAATGCCATAATTTACTGATAAAGTTATTGTGTGTTCTGGTCTAATTTTGAATTACTCAACAAAATAGCAAATCATAGAATCACACTTTATATAAAAATAATTATTGGCATTTCTATTTATTTTAATAAAAAATAAAAGACAGTAAGACAGTTTTTTTTTAATGCCTAAAAGAAAACAAATCAGGTAATAAAGAGAATAACAGTTTTCTGGGCATAAATATGCTTTGATGGAAGGGAAAGAAGAAAGATACATTCCCTTCTTAAGCAAAATAGGAGGAGGGTAAAGCAGTGTGTTTAGTTGAGGTTTATTTTTTTGAAAGTACAGGTGATGGATTAGTGCTGCAAGATGAAAAATTTTAGCTATTCAAAGAATAACATTAAAGCTAACAGCACAGGTTAGTAATATTGACATTAATTTATACACATCTTTTGGGGGATGTTACAAAAGATGAGACTCAGGTGCTCGCTACTGGGGTAGTTCTGAATCTGAGTGTAGGCTTCTAAAGTACTGTAACAGTTAACTGCATTGGCAAGCTAATGGTATCTTTTGTCAGTGTATTAATGATAATCATGCTTCTGCCCTCCTCTCCCTTTGAGTGTTAGGATGTGTATGAATATTTGTTTCACCTTATTGGGTTTTGTGGTGTGTTTTCCCTCTAGCTGACTTGATTTTATGGGTGATACCTGGCTCTGTGGGATGAAGTCAAACCCTCAGTTTGAGTGAATACTCAAGTCGCTGAACATGGCAACTGAAGTTTTCTTTGCAGCTTTGACTTTGCTCCATTTTGTTTGTTGATTGTTTTGTAAACCTTCAATGCTCTTTAAATTTTATTATGTAATTTTTTTTTGGCCACATGACATGTTAATGTCTAGCATCCTCTATTCCTCTCATAGTACTTTGAGGTGATGACTCGAATGTATGCAGGTTAGTTCATACATGTAGTAACTTCTGGCATGGGGGAGGTTGTCGCTGGTTTTGAATATCTACAGTAACTACTTATTATCTTTGACCTACTACTTATTATCTTTGACCTGTGCATCTTTAAAAAGATACTGACAGAGAAAAAGGTTCTCCAAGGTTCAGTTACATTAGTATTTCGTTTACCAGTTGTAAGAGTTACTTTTCTCTGATCACTTCCATCAAGAATGTTCAAATGTGTCCATGCTTGTATTTTGTAATAAAGCTGTGAAGTAATACTCCATAAAGTAATAGTAGGGTTTTTCTTTTACCTTTAGGTGAATTTGTATTTGTTTGGGATATTTGGAGGTCTATGGCTCTCAGAATTTTAATTTGAAAGGTTTTATGTTCAGAAGGTTTTATGTTTAAGCAGCATTCAGAATTTTAATTTGAAAGAATGGTTCAGAAGGTTTTATGTTTAAGCAGCATGTAGACAAGAATATCTTAGTAATTCCATCCTAAGAAAAATGTCAGTTATCTAGGGGGGGAAGTATGTTTTTAGTGTTTACATGGACTGTCACCTGTAAATCCCAAGACAGATGTCAGAATAACTTAGCCAAAAGCACACTACTTCCGTGTTTTTCAGTCCATGTATCCAGAAAAATCTTTCATAGTCTGAAAACATTGAAAACTTGTGATGTACCAATATGTCAGGGAGGCGAGTCTTACAAAAGAACAGCTAATGACACTTCTTTTAGGACCTGTAGAATATCTGTTTATTTGTAAATTAAATTCTATTTCAAATCAATTTTTTAGTTTGTAAATTTTATTTCTAAGTAAAGGATTGATCGTAGATGTGAAGTGTATATGTATATTCCTACTTCTGTTTATAATCAGTGTAACGTTTTCTGTGTAAGTAGGTGTTATCTGTCAAGTGTTCAAGCAAGGCTCAGATATAAAAATAACCCTTTCTAAACATAATATTAAACAAGATGTAACATGCATATGTTATATATGTGTGTGCATATGGATAGACAGATAGTTATAGAAAACACACTAAAGAAGCTAGTTTGATTACATAGTAATCTGGAAATCAGATTTTATTAATTACTTCCATAAATTGGTTTGGCATTGTGCCAGCATTTGAGTGGCACCTAATGGGGTGGTACCTGCTGGGAGGAGGAAACCACACTTCAGTTTCAAAAGTTGATAGCACAGTAGGAGAAATGGTTGGCTATGCTTGTATGGATTTTTTTTAAAAACAACCCCAAAGAAAGAAACACCACCCCCCAAAAAAACCCAAACAACCAAGCCAAAAACAACCAAACCAAACCCCACAAAGAAACAGAAAAACAACCCACCACCACGACTTCCCCCCTTCTCCCCCTGCCAAAAAGCCCCAAGCAAACAACCAAAAACACAAACTCGCCAAACATCCCAAACCCATAATCATTAATTGAGAGCACAGTGATCACAGATCACGAGGAGTTTCTTTGTGGCTTTTTAGGTGTGTCTTCTCAGAAATAAGAACTAGAAAGCACTAAGGAAAAGCACTGTGTCTGTGGTTTGGTTGGAGCACTCGATGGCAGCACCTTAGGTATCAGTGTTTGAAAACTTGCATTTTAAAATAAGTTTCCTTAGAATTTTCAGTGTTTTCAAGAGAAAAATTCCCGGTAGTGATTAGGATATCTGTCAGACTAAAGGATGGCAAGTTAGATCTGCTAAGTCAGAAGACAGCAGAATATACTTTTAGTCTCCTGGTCAGCTTTGTCAAGAGATTTGTTTTGCTTATTATGGAAACGTACAATAAAGGCATCTTCCTAGAAAGGATGATTAAACCTTTGGGTTTTTTTCAATGTCACTAGCTTTTAGGGAAAGTCACAAGATTTTTCTTGGAAGAACTGTGGATGTTTTGGGTAGCTTGTATACTTTAGAATTAACTTACCTTTACATTAAACTACAGTGGGGAAATTACTTTTCTTGAAGCACATACAGTGCTGAAGCTTACTGAATCAAATTTTGTTTTTTCAGTTTGCAAATCTGTCCAGTTCTTCTGAAACTATTTCTGGAATAGAAATCAGTGTAGCTTTCTTATATCAGTGTGTGGTTTTACTCCTTTTCTGAGCCTTGATAAAAGAAACGTTATATGTGTGTGTGAGTTTGTATGTTTTTTCAATTATTTCTATCATTTTGGGATCACAGACATTTCTAAGTCAGGGTCAGAGAGCTCTGTTTCCTTCTACTTCTTGTCTTGTAGCTATGGAGTATGAATTAATGTTAAGTACTTACCTGGCTTCAGACATACTGGATAAACACAAACTAGAATTTACATCTCTAATTATGTCTTAAGAAATTGCAAATTGAGCTAATGTTTGTAATTTTAATCAAGTGATAATTTCTGAACTAATTTTGTCCCTGGCTGGTGATGTATTTAATGTCAAAGATGGTGCTTACTGTTGATTTCTCTAAGTTCCAATTGAAGAAAGGTTTGAAATGTGTTGATAGACTTGCACATATTCATTTAAGCGTATTAAAAATAAAATAGGCTTGTTAAAACTAGCATCTAAGTAGGTCTAATATCTAGGTAGTTTTTGACAGTAATCTGAATAAACTCTGGTCCACTAGAAAAAATAGTAAGAAATGAACAATTTTTCAAGCATTGATACCACCTAGTGGTAAAAAATATTGTTACTTGTTTACTTAATATGTATTCAAAAGAATATGAAGTTTGTGTTATATATAAAAAAGGGGAATTAAGCTCTGTCTTTTGTAACATTGTCTACACACGTATAGTACTGCAAAAGCTTTTGAGAGTGGGGAGCTAGAATTTAAACACTTGCACTTCACTGCTTGATATGTACAGGGCTGGTTTTGATGCCATTTTAAACATATTTACTTTGTCCCATTAAAAAAAAAAAATCATTAAATGCACAACTGAATGAGGATAACAGGGAATTTATACAGGTATAAAAACAAAAAGGTCCTTTTCTGTGTGTGTATACATGTCAAAAACATGCTTTTGTTTTTAAAAAAAAAATAATCTGTCTTTAGAATAGACATTTGAATTTGCATAACATGCAGGCTTGTGGATATTGGTTGGGAATTCCTGGCACAGTCATTACCAAGAGTTTGCAATGAACCAGAGTGGAAAGATGGTCTTGGGGAGAACGGATCTAGCAAAATGTTGACTTGGATAAGTTCCCAGAACTGGTTCAGAATGATCTGCAGAGTTAGTCCTGTGGGCACAAGGGAGGGGGTGGCGTGTGGTGGGGAGCGATGGAGAGAGGCTGAGGGAAGGCAGGGCTCCTGCTTCTGGAGGTGATACCAATGTGTGCCAGGCAATGATAACTACAGTGTTTGTCACTTTGTGTAATGCAATCTGTCAAAATCAGGTTATGAAAAGTACCTTTCTAAACAAAATATTGCCCAACTACTCTTTAAAAAATGCAAAAAATTAGCCCTTTCAATTAACATAGTATGTGAAACCAGCTTTCATTTCTTATCGCCAGCTGATGTAGGTCCAGTATAAAAGTTATGTTTATCATTGTAACATCTGTAATGTGACTTTCAACATGTGAGATGGTAACAGCTAATTCTGACTGATGTATGTAGACTGTTTTATTTTTCCCTTTTCATTTGCAGGTACTTGTTTCACAGTGGCAATCCGGAGCATCCAGGAGACATACTTCTAAACACAACTGTGGAAGTTTTGCCTTTTCAGGTATGAATTCATTGATTGGTGTCTTTTCTATTAGGATAGAAGCAAAACCTTGTAATTGTATTTACTTTTTTAAAAGGGTGAGGGAGACATGAATGCTTCATTTTTTAACTGTGGGATCTTGATGCTCTGATGCTCTCATACTTCTTTTTTTAGTTGGTTCTATTAACAGAAAACTATTGCAACTATTCAGATGGTTCATTCAGTGTGTAGTCTGTTACAAGTGCTGTTAGTAATTTGGAGGTGAACAAGCACATTTGCTTCCAATTCAGTACTACTATTTAAAATAAAAAAATAACCCATCTTCCATCTCCTGTGTATTTTGGAAAATGGGAAAGCTAAGTCAGTCTGCTTTTTGACTTAGTAAAAAAAGTTTGGTTCAGGAATTGACACACATCCAAACCTTGATAGATACTGAAATATCTGGACTCTTAACCTAATGTGTTCCTTTCTCCTGATGACTGATTTATTCCCCCCCCCCCAAATCAGTCTGAATGTTATCTCAGGAGGGCACTACACTATCTAAAGTCTATTCTTGCTTGAAGCCAGGTGGTATGGGTTCTTTTTCTTCAACTAGATATGATAGCTAACCGTTTATATCAGAAAACTCTGTCAGAAGATCAAGATAAAACTTCAGCCAAGTTTATTTTATTTAATATTAAAATAGCAAAGTATTTCTGTCTTTTCGCATACATCTGGTGTAGGTACCTTTGAAATCTGTGCCTAAGTTACCATGTGATTAATCTCTTTGCTCCCTCTCTCTCTCTCTTTGCTCCCTCTCTCTCTCTCTTTGCTCCCTCTCTCTCTCTCTTTGCTCCCTCTCTCTCTCTCTTTGCTCCCTCTCTCTCTCTCTTTGCTCCCTCTCTCTCTCTCTTTGCTCCCTCTCTCTCTCTCTTTGCTCACTCTCTCTCTCTCTTTGCTCCCTCTCTCTCTCTCTTTGCTCCCTCTCTCTCTCTTTCCTTAAAAAAAAAAAAAAAGGTAAGTGATCATGGAGGAGTTCACTTCTTCATTCTTGCTGTCTGCCTTCCTGGGAGCAAGCAAAAATAGGACTTTCTGACCACTTTCACCCCTAAAAAGAAGTTTTATCAGTTTGATTCTAATTATACAACATGATATGTGGGATACCATATCTTAAGATTTGTGGGTTTTCTTTCTCAAGACTTTGGGAAATATATTCAACCACAAAAACAGCAGCAGCCCTTACTTCATCTAGGCCCAAGATACCAAAAGAATGCACAAGATAATGAGAAAAAATGTGCATCAAGCATCTCTTTTAGCTACACTTGGCTGTGAAATGTCCCTCAAACTGGAGCATCGCTTAAGGAATAATGCTACTGAGTTTCCATTGCTATCGACACAATTTGTGGAAAGGTAAACAGGAAATTCTGCATCTGACCCGTTCCTAAGCCATTGGCGTCAGCAGAAAATGTCACCAATAAGAGGACAGCAGCTGCAGAATGATAGGTGCTGTCCTGAGGGAGCGATTTCTTCACTGTGGACTTCAGTAGAGCTGGAAGCCCATTTGGGTACTTTGACCCTAATCCTCCCTAAGCAGAATTCAGAAAAACAAAAAACAACTCTTAGAAACCACAGTGCCCCCAGACTGGATTTGTCTGGGACTCAAGCAACACAATCAAAAAAACCCAACCAACCAAAAAACCAACCCAACACCACCCCCCCAAAAAACCAAAACAAACCACCCCAAACTAAAAAGACCCACCAGTTTTTCAGCAGCCTCCTTTAAAAGTAGGAATTAATAAAACAAAACAAAAAAGCCGTTGGATTTAATCTCCTGTTTTGTCAAGCATTTTGAATTAATTCCTAAGAAATTCTTAGAGTGGGTCTTTTAGTATTGAATCATGTGATTCCGGTTGTAATTTTCCAGCTGTTTTTGAAGCTCTGGTCTACAATCTCATTTTCCCCTGCTCATTAAAGAAACTTATTGATACCTATCCTTTTTTAGTGAAGCAGTGATAATTGCAAAATTTCCCTCACTGGTCTGATGGCTTTTCATCTCGCCCAAATTCTTACATCAAAAAGTAAGCTGTAAGTTTCAATTTTCCTGAGAGAAATCTCTGGTTCAACCATAGAAAAAGAAAGCAAGATCCTGCCTTTGCTTTTCTTTTACTGTGTACGCCGGTATCTGCTATGTATTCTGTTCACGTGGCAGTTAACATGCAAGTTACGTGAGGCACTTAGAGTACTTCTTTTTTCTACTTTGAAGCCACATACTGTTTAGTTCTGGAACGCTGCTGCTTTTTCTTTGGTTTTTGGTTTGGTTTTTTTTTTTTTGTGTTGGCTTGTCTAAGACTAAGTTGTTTAAACTACTCTAGGCTGGTTCATAATTATTTAGAAAAGATGGATGCTGAATACATTAACAAGAGTGCACACACATTTGTCTTTCTCTGGCAAAGTCGTATGTCAAAACAGATGATCTCATTTGTGCTTTGTTGTTCTAGAATGAAGAACTGGTATTAAGCAAAGAAACCAAAGACAAACGCTTAGAGGATGGTTACTTCAGGATAGGTATGTCACAGGGGAAAGAAATATGTATTGTTACTATTACAACAGTTAAGACACTTTCATTAAAGCCAAAATGAACCTAAAACCGAGTTTTGATCGTTCATTTTTGGGTATGTGACCTTGTAAGCTTTACTTAATATTGTTTCCAATATTTTTTTTCTGAGACTGATGTAGTTAACAAAGATCTATTGTGACTCTTAGTTGTAGTGCAGCTACATCCAACTTCTCTGCCGGGATCGATCACCTAGATTATTGGGGAGGCATTTCCAGGTTGTGTAGTACCACCTCTTCTCTCCTGTGACTGCACCAGTGCCTCTGTGTGAGCCGCATGCTTGGCCTGGATTTGAACCCACCCTACAGACAATTCGCTGTCTCGTCATGGGATGAGATTGGCATTTCCATAGCCAAGCGGCTGCTGGGGAAGGTGCCAGGATACCTGTTGTCAAGGAAGAGAAATTTTACGTGTAGATCATACTTAGCTTGCTGGACATATGTTGGGCATCCCTGTTATAATGAAAGCAAGTGGGTTTTCTCTTAATGAACTGCAGTTGCTATGTATATGTTTTAAGTGTAAAGGCTTTTAAATTGGATTCTTATTCATGCTAATATAATCGAAGATCCTTTAAATAGGAATAGATTAAGCAGAAATTACATCCCTTGTCCCTAATGCTCCTTGAAAACTCATAAGCCAGGGGCTCCATGTCTAATTCCATGATATTAAGTGAAAATCTGTGCCAAATCTTCCCAGAGGTTGAGGTGCTCATACCCTTAGACAGTTCCAAAGCTTTTATTCTTACATGTAATCCTGTTCAGATCAGTGTGCTCTGATGATGCACTCTATCTTGTTTGCTGCTGCAAAACTGAATTTGATATAAAAAATCACTGGCTATCTTTTGTACCCGTCAACCCTACAGCCACCAGCAATGGGTTTCACCTGTGAATTGTGATACTACAGATACATTTTTCTGGACACAGATTTTTGTACTTTAGTTCATTGAACAGGAGTTAATTGAGGATAAACTTTTGCTTCTTTTGCAGGGAAATTTGAAAACGGTGTAGCTGAAGGAATGGTTGACCCCAGCCTAAACCCCATTTCATCATTCCGGCTTTCAGTGATACAAAATTCAGCAGTCTGGGCAATTCTGAATGAGGTGAGAGGTGGTATAACCTTTTAAAAATAAAACTGGCAAATGTGAGATTTCTTCATTCTGTCAGTGTGTTGAAGCTCAAAATTTTGGCTAATGCTGAAAACAGTTACCTCTTATTACTGAGAAATATAACACCCTAAAACGTGACTCTTTTTTATTATTCTCTATTTCAGATTCATATTAAAAAGATTACAAACTGATCATGGAAATCTCCTTTAGAGGAAAAAGAAAGAATCCTTGAAAACTTTTCCTATAAATTCTGACATCCTTAGCAAGTCACGAGTTGAAAATACTGAGCATGCACCTTATTCCAAATTTCTTTCATTTTCACTTGAACTCTACCTCTTGTGAAATCTACTGTAGATGAGAAGATTGTATTGACCCCTTCTTATCTGATCCATCCAGAAACTGACGCTCCACACTGATAATGTTCGTCTGAGGCCTAAGTTGCCCTCCACTTTAATGTGACTTTACCATCTTACGGTTACCGAACCCTGCTACGCTTAACCTGTACTATTTTGATAGTATAGTAATATAGAGAAGTTGTACATATTGTTACATTCCTTGAAGAAGAAAAAAAATATAATTATTGTTAAATATGTTTTATGAAGGGGGTACTTTCGGAGTTCCATTTATTTTCTATAACAAGAACCCTCTTTTATAGACTGTCAGGGATATATATTAAAAATGTTAGGGATATTTAATTTATTGAAATAATTTGAAAAGTACATATTTTTATGCAGTAAAATTTTAAATTGATATAGGTTTTTTTATGAATTCTCTAGTTTAAGTTATCTTTCTACATTTTTTCTTTGGAGATGCAAACATAAATTAATACCATATTTCAAATATACTGCCATGTTTAAAAAAAACGAGATTAAGTTTCTAAATTATGTGGTTTTGTATGCAGAATCTGAATGATGTTCAGAGGCATTACAGAGTTCTGAAGAGCATTATTCTTTGCGGCTATGAAATTCTACTATGTATAGTTTGTAGCCACATAAAAAGCATGTTGAAATGTCTTGTTTCATATTATGAACTAAATCTGCAGCGATTTTAGATTGAATCCATTGCATTTTAGAAAAATTTTTTCGATTCCAAACAGTTCTTTCTAAAAATCTTTGTAGACATTTCCTAGCCTGGACGGATTCATTTTCTGTACCAAAAAAAAAATCATTCTCCAGCTTTGCTTTGGAGTGACAGAGGTTACCTTTTATCAAAAGAATTAATAGTAATTAGATATATTTGATCTACAGAGGTCTCCCTTTAAAAAGTTGTGTTACTGCAGTGTTTATTTTAGATACAGTACAGTGAGTAGTTACCTTTATTTTTATTTTCTTCCATTGTTCAAGAACAAGGTTTCAGTTGGACTCCTTTATTGATCAGTGTAGTAACTCGCACTAACCTTTAATAGGAACTGAATTTGGCCTCAGTTTAGTACCCGCCTTTTCATTTCAAGGGAAACAACAGTGATCTTAAATGAGTCAGAAATTCGGTCAGGAACAGAAAGTGGTTTGGATTAAATGTGGAGCAGAATTGTTGCAGTACTAATGCTGCAGCTGCTCTTAAGAGTCCTTCTACTTAGGTGCTTATGTGTAAGGACACAGGCATGGGAAGATTTAAGTTACCCAGTCAGAAATGGTCAGGAGGAAAATTTCTCTCTTTAATAGGAACAAAGTGCCTGATTGACACTGGAGGGAGGCAACTACCCTGGCTTGGGGATTCTCAGCTGTGCTATGAAGTGAACTCCCACAACAGACATCTCAAAAGCTGGCCCAGTTTTCCCTGCAGAAAAAACCCTCCGTTTATCCACAACATCTTTGTGGTCAGGGCACAGATGTGCAAAACCTGGTGTGGGATCCCTGATCTCCAGCAGGGATCTTGAATGCATACCTCCAGCATGAAAGCCCAACTAATAGATTTGGTCTCTTTTTCATGACACATTTATGAGGAGAAGGAGCTTAAACCTGACTCTCCAGCACTGCAAGCCATCACCACTGGGATATAGAGTCAGTGTGTCTTTTTTTCTGCCTTGTTGGAAAATGGTGTCATAGCTTTGACAGCTCAGCGATATTCAAGTTTAAGAGCTTAACTACTTCTACAGACCATAGTCATTTTGTTTTAGCTGTGTTGTCTGTGGACGCAGGGAAGACAAGATTTGTATATAGAGATAAGACCTTCTGTTTAGACTGACTGGCATAAGTTGAAGAAAAGTAGAAAGTTACCAGGCAGCCCTTGGTTGGTTTTTTTTTTCCTTATTGCATCAGATGGTGTAAATAAAATGTTACTTGGAAAGCTCCTCTTGCCCATAGAGACTGTGGGCATAACCGAAGCACTGGTCTCATAAATGAAGTTTATTCTTGGATTTAGGAACATGGATGAATAGGCTCAGAATCCTGTGTGAATCTAGCCTATTGTGGTGCCGCAGCCCAGTTTATTACCTGTATAATACCATGCCATTACTTTATTGCCATGCAGTGGCTTTTTATCACATATTAGCTAGCAAAGGTCTAAGAAAGTATTTAGGTTTTCTTCTCAGCTGTGCCTGTGAATGAATTATGTAAGTAATGTAAACTATAGCTGTTTATTACAATTTGGATTGCAGAAGTATGTTAGATATTGCAGTTTCTTAATATAAGTAGTTTTGCTGACAGCGACTTTCATCTTTTTCCGTAAGTTCAAAAGTTTACTGGTACTGCTTATTGAAGAAAGCTGTGTGCTTACTCTCAAAGCATCACTGTTCCTGATGTTTCACAGTAGTTAAGCTGAATCATTGCTAATGTATCTAAATATATAGAAGCCTTACCATGTTGATTGCAGGACTCTGGTTAACAGTATATTTAGTTTCAACAACGTTGAGACAAAATTTGTCAAAGACCACAAATTAACTAGTGCTTGGTAAAATATGTGAGGTTTTTTTCTCAAGATTGTTGCATTTTTATTACATTGTACTAGCAGGAGTTGGAAGTACTCTAGGCTGCTTTAACACTTTACAGATCCTGAGTTTATATGCTCTCTAAATAAATGTGCGACATTAATACAAATTACATTTTGTAGATTCAGGTAAATTCAGACCTGATGTAATCAGTACTGCAAATTTGCTTGAAAAATTTGCTGCAATATAGGAAAAAGCAGCAAAAATATTTTCTACTTAATTGTCTCTGCAGACAGCAGTTTGGGGCTTTCTACCTTTCAAATTCCAATCCCTGAGTCAGGCTAGCATGGTGCATGCCTCCTTCCTGGAATCATGGTGAAATAAGACTGCTTTGGCTGTTTGGCTCCACAGTCATCTGCTTGGGCACTGTTTGTGACTGGGTATACTCCAGAGCTTGTGTCTTTTATACGTCTCAGCCATAAGTTACAGTATTAACACAAGAGTTCCTCTCGGCATCTTAAAACTTATTACCTGATTTTGGGGAGTTTCTTCCTACATGTATTTAATTTCAAGTTAGTATTGTTGCGGCCTTAAAAATCCCCTCTAGGCCACTGAATCTTATAGGAATCAAATAATGGAAAGTGTTTCAAAATAAACTGTGTTATCGTGTGATCCTATTAGCTCCTTCTGATGCTGTTAAAGATTCAGAAAAGACAACTTCTGTGAAACCAAAGGCATTACCAGAAACCTTCATTATCTGGGCAAATTATTCTTAACTTCTTGTACTGGATGCCAAACAGACCGGCTGATATGAGCACTGACTTTTCTGAGCCAGTGTTGCTCTGGACCAAGGAAATACAAGAGCGTCAGTATAATCTTGCTTCGCTCATTCAGTGGGTAGTCCTACTGGAAACTTTGTAAATAATGTGAACAGGATGTGATCCCAAATTAGCACTTTTTATTTTTTTAATGAGAGTGTTTCTAAAGCACTGTATATGGCTTTGCACTTTTGCAGGCATCTCAACCATTTATTTGGCTTCATAGAAAATATTCCTATAGATACATCTGTTTTTTCTTAACTGAAAGATGGCTTAGAAAAATTCAAACAGATAAACATGATTTGTGGACCAATAAAAGACTGGACTTTTCTGTCATATGACTGCTTGCCTAGCTGTTTTCAAAAGCAGTTTTTAAATACCTTGAGTCAGTTTAGAGCAAAGCCATTTATACTTTGCCCATGTGATACAAGATTCCTTACATGGGCTGGAGTGCCATTAGTCTCTGGCAAAATTGAACAACCGTGTTAATATTTTTCCTTCATTTTTTTCCAATTATATTATAATTTCAGTAATCTCTGTTTTTTCCTGAAAATATTTGCTCCAAATGAAGTATTGTAGTAATTTGTAGTTTGCTTCCAACTTGGAAAATATTATTTTAGTTGGGGGGCGAGGGAGGGAATTAAATATCTTCAAACCTTGCTCCCCTGAAATAACTTAACCTTAGGTTCTATATTTGTTTTTATGAGGAAGGATGTATTCTGAAAAAGCTAAAGTAACTGTAATAGAAAGGGAAAAAACCCATGGTTTTAAATCATCTTTACAATCACCAGCATAATGCTGAGAAGCTATTAAACAACTGGTGTTTTCAGGCTAGCATTGATTGCTGATGTAGAAAACATGCCCCACACAGAACTGGTGAATTAGTCTTTGAGAGTGTCACTTTTCTGACCTTAGTGGTCTCTTAAGGGTGTTGCTGATTTCTGCTCTGAGCACCTAGAACTTAAGGTAGCCTAGTTTTGAGAATGGCAAAGCCTTCTTTCAAGGGGACAAACTTTGATGTCTCTAAAGGGAAGGTACGCAGGCCCTGAGCCCTTCATTGATTTCAAGGGTATCGCACCATAGGGCACTAAATATGAAGTATTTTTACTGTTGAACTGAAGTGGGTGATCACTGGTGCTAGGATTCCTGTTAGGGAAAAGGTGTATAGTTAGGCTGCAGCTGCCTGCAGGACAGGAGCTCGTGCTGTGAGCCAGGGTGGGAGTGGGTCCTGACTGGAATCCTTCACCTTCTGTGGATCAGCGGCTCAGTGTTTTCCTTGTTAAAAGGGGAACGTTGCTCAGTGTCTGCTGAGAAGGGAACATGATTCTCTTCAAGCCTTAACAGTGGCTGAAACACACAGTACTGTAAGATGCACTGCCAGCATATTTGGTATTTTAAGATAAATATAGTTTTTCCTTAGAGTCAAATTCTAGTATTGAAATATTAAGTCTTACTGTAACCAGTTTACTCGTGCATTGTTTTGGAAACTGAATCCTAGTGCTCATGTTTCATACTGAACACTCTGCTTCGGAAAGTTGTCATCTTGATTTCCCAGAAGGTATTGTTTGTGACAGTCAGTTTATACTCCTGCCTTGTGGACTTTACAGCTGCAGGCATTGCCACGAGCCCACCCTTGTAGCCAAACTAAACTTGTATTTTCCTTCCATGTTCATCAACCTGCCATGCGTAGTGGTGGATGTAACAATATCCACTGGACTTCTAGAGATTGGGTTTAAAAACTTGCTGCTATATTTGGAAACCTGATATGGGTCATGTTAATTGTGCCTTTCATCACTGTTTCTTCTGCGTGCCAGAGTTGTTCATGTATATTTGAAGTAGTCATTAAAATAAATCTGTTCTCAAGTTCTTTCATAAAAGGAGGGGACAGTTCTGTATCTAAAGCCAGTTGTTGCTTTACCATTGCAACAGAAGATCCCTACTTTCACACAGTCCCAAGGCAAGGTATTCCAGTATTATTCTTAAATAAAACTGCTTTTCAGTGTCACTTAAAACCCTCATAATTTAGAGCTTATGCCAGTATGTGCAAAATATCTGCAGTAAGAGTTATGCTAAATAGACTTGTTGCAGTTAAATTTAAGCTACAGAGATGGTCAAGTAACTTGTTTTTAGGAATGTACTGCAAAAGTGTTTGAACAAAATTGCTAACATGTTTACTGTTGTAAATATTTTAATAAAAAAGGACACTTCAAACTTTTTTACACAGTTATCTACAATAAAGAGAAATTTACAACCATTTACAAAATGTTCTTAACTTTTTCTTTACTGCCAAGACAGTTAAGATAAAACCAAAATAAACATTACATACATGAAGTCCTGGTTTTATTTCACTCTGTATTTATAAAAGGAACAAAGCATCTTGGTGAAGTTCCATCCACATGCTAACGAGATCAAATAGAG